AGCTCCCATGTACAAGCCCCTATCGAGTTAATAATAACCCAGGAAGGTTAATCAACAGTTTCTCTGAGCTTTTAGGAGCTACAAAAGCCGCAGCCTGTGAATCAGCAAACCAATGTGGTTATTAGAGGGGGTGCACTAGCAAGGGAGGAGAAGAAATTATAGAGCTGCAGAAGGGGCTACAGCAACTCTAGATGGAAGGCTGCCTTCCTCCCACATTAAAGAAGACCGAAACGTGTTGCTCATCATTGTAGGCAATGTCCACTGATGACAATAATGTGTTATGGAGAAATTCCTTGTAATGCAATAATCCACACAACTACTAATATGAGGAAAGAGGTGTAGAAAGCTACCATATGCATTTTTTGCAAGCCTGATCTCTCAGGCCCTTAGATCTGATTCCTGTTCAAAGAGAATTTTTTTCTCCCTCTATAAGGTGACAGTGCATCAGTTTTGCATCTATTACCAGAACTGATGCTGCAGAAGTTACTGGAGTCACATAGTAGGGCATGCTTTTTATGGGGAACTGCTGCTACTTTTTAAAATTAATTTTTACTTTTTAAAAAATTACAGAATAAAATTTAAGGAAAAAGAATAAAATAAAAGTGAAGAGACAAGAATAAATAAATGAAAGAGAAAAGAAAAGACAAAAGTGAAAAAGAAAAAATACCAAAGGCACTCTACATGGAGCAATCCTTGAAAAATACCTGGAAGCTACTATAGAATGCAGCTAGGCGAGCACCCAAAGGACGGCACATGTAACACCTCTGTTGCACAAGCTGCATTTGGTGCCGGTTTGCTTCTGTGTCCAGTGCAAGGCATTGGTTATGATCTTTAAAGCCCTACATGGCATGGGGCCAATTTACCTTATGGAGCCATTTCACCCATTACATTGGTCCATTCCACTCGTCAGGCAGGTATGTTGCAGACCCTGTCAGTAAAGAATTCCGACTGGCAGATAGCAGGAAGAGAGGCTTCTCTGCCATTCCCTCTGCTGTTTGGAACATTCTGCCCCCAGTGGTGAGGCAGGCTCCCACTTTTCTGGCCTCTAAAGACCTGGCTATGTCAACTTGCTTGGGGCCTTCAGAGATGCAGGCAGCCATGGGGCTGGTTAGCGCCCTGAAGCCCCTTCCCCACCTTTTAAATTTTATTCTTATTTTTAACAGTTTTATATTATAATATTTAAACATAGTTTGTATGTTTTTCTATTGTCCAGAGTCACTCTATGAGGGAGATGGGCGGTTCCTGAAATTGATGTATAAATAAATAACTAAACAGAACATTCGATCATCTTTGCAGCAGTTATAAATGTAATCAAAATGTATTCTCTAGAGTTAATGGTGCTTCTTTGTGTAAATAGTTGTTCTTTGTTGGGGCTGGCCAGAGTGGCTTCAAAGGATTTTCAAAACAAATTAGTCTTCGCTTGTGAACTTTATTTCTCTCTATCAAAAATAACATATAAGGACCCAAACTCAAATATGACAGTGTAAAAACTCTGCAAGGAAGTGGGATTTATCTACATAGACTTTTTGCTATGTGAAAGAAGGCTGATTAGAGAGTTTGGTCATGTTTTGTCTTGCTATTTTTATAGTAAGCTCTTTGGGGTGAGGACAGTCTGCTTCTAGCTTTGCAAATTGTCCACTGTATCTCTAAGGTATTAGATGAAGAACAGCCTGATGGTGTGTGAGAGAACCATACGTACGTTTTCCAACATTATGGTGTAGTAGCAGATAGAAGATTATATGTGCAGATTTTATTGGATTCGGTTTTTCTTGTATTTGTCTCTTGGGAAACACAGAAACAAGAGCGTAGGCACCTAGAGTTCCTGCAAAAGGAAGTGATTTTGTTTTAGTTGCTGTCAGGCCACCAACATACATCAAGCAGGATTTGTTTTTACTGCCAGGCACTCTGCAAACCCCTCTCTCTCTCCCCCCCTCCCCCATCTGTCTATCTGTCTGTCTTCATCTATGTAGTTCAGCCTTCGCAATGGCAAATTACAGAGGGTACTAGAGAGGCTAGTTACTAGGAGGCTAGTTACAATGCAGAGACCAGCTCTATTTAAAGCAGAAGCTGACAACCTCCAACTTCTTTTTGCACAAATAGAGATCAGGTGGTGAGGGAACATTGCACACTAGGCTTTGTTTAGTTTTAATACTATCACACACCTAAAATTAAAGCCACAAAAAGGAGAAAACCTGGAAATGCAGATTCTACTCACAGTCCAAAATAGGATATGTTTGATCTTCTGCTCCTAGCCAATATACACAGGTCTGTATCCTATCACCTGACTGCCATGACATTGTGGCCAGTATCCAATTGCCTGAGACAGCACATATAGTCTAGGTTTTATTTTCTTTGAGAGTGTGGCAGCTGCCAGAGTGACCTAATCATTTCCTTGATTTGGCATTCATACCCAGGAGAAAGGAACCAACTCTTCCATTCATTCTTGTTAGCAGAGTATTATAGAAGCACAGTTCATTTGTGATTTGGCAATGTCCCCAGTGAGAGCTAGTTTGGTCCAGTGACGAAGATACCGAATGAAGAGTGAAAAACCAGGAGATACTTGCCTTAGATATGAAAACCAAGTGGGTGATATCAGCCAATCACCCTTCTCAGCCCAATGAAAAAAGGCAACAACAAACCGCTTTTTAAAAATGCTGCCTAGAAAATTGCATAGACTTTTCCAAATTGTTGCCAGGAGTTATAACTGACTTGAAGGCATATGTATATGTGTATATGTAGATATATGTGAATGTGTATATGAAAATATATATGTATATGTAATTCTAATTACATATTGTAACTATGTACTTAAACATAGTTTAAGTACAAACATAGGTTTCAACCCAGTATTTTATATTTCCCTTTATATTTAAGAGATGTTATTTAACTAAGAGAAGTTAACAATGTTAATACATTTCATTTCTTTTGCATTGCTGTAAAGATATTGCTGATAATTCCTTAAGGAATGTAGGCATTAGCTATTCTGAAGTTCTGTGTAAATCTTCAGAAAGCAGTATTTAGCATTTTTACTTTTAACCCTTAAATATTTTTCTTAGATCAGTCTTGTACAATGGAGAATTGGAGCAGTAGAAGACACTGTATGATTTAAACACTGTCTGATTCAAAAACTGGCTATTTTTGTATTGGATCAGAAATTAATATTTGGGGCACATTTTTTCTATTTGGTATTTGACTATTGGAGATTTTGATTTATTACTTGCCAGCATCTAATAAAAATTATTTCTACAGTGCATTCTATACTGCTTATTTTATGCCTATAAAGATGTTACTGAGCAAAATAGGACTGGGCTTCTTTTCTTCTGCTACCATACATCCACTTGTTAAAAATAATTATATTAACTAGCTCTTTCAAAAAAACAAAACTTGTACATATTTTTTTATTTTTTATTTATTAATTTTCTATTATTACATTTAATTAGTGCTTAATAAACATCATGTCTGGGTTAATTTGTTTGCTTAATAATACAAGTTACATTCTTATCTCTACCTCTTTTTTTCAACCATTGATAAAATAAATTCCATGTTTGAAAATATTCTGTATCTTCTTTCTCTTTGATTCTCAATGTAAGTCTGTCCATTTCAACACAGTCCAATATTTTCTTGATTATCTCTTCATCTAGTGGTGTTTCTTCATTCTTCCAATGCTGAGCAAATACTATCCTCGCTTCTGTTAGTACATGCAATGTTAAATATGCACTTTGCTTATCAGATTTTTCTGGTATTATTTTTCAGGTTTAAAATCTACATGTTTTCCTAACATCTTTTCTAACCAAATGTGTATTTTTGTCCAATTTTATTTTGCTTTAACACAGGTCCACCACAAATGATAATATGTGCCAGATTTTTGGTTACATTTCCAACATTTACTAATATTTTTAAATATTTTTGCTAACCTAGCAGGTGTAAGTGCAATCTATAAAACATATAAGTTTTCTTTATAAGAAGTTGAATTGTCAATTTATAATTTCTTTCCCAAAGATTTTGCCATTTCTCTAATTCTATATTATATTCAAACTTTTTTGCCCATTGTATCATTATATCTTTCACTTGTTCATCCTCCATTTTCAAATTTAATAGAAAGTTATATAGTTTCTTAATCAGTTTTTCATCGGAGATCAACAATATCTGATCAAATATTGTCTGTTCTTTATAAAAGCCATATATTTTTGCAACTTTATCACATCTCGGTTGCATTTGCAATTGAGGCCACCATGATAATTCAATGCCCTGGTCTAAAAGCTCTTGTTTAGATTTTATTTTCCCTTCAATATCCAAAATATCCCTATATGTCATTTTTTTTCATATTGCATCAAACCTGTACACATTTTGATATAGGTAGTTGTGTGTATTGAATTCAAGAGTCAGCTCTGACTTCAGACATTAATTCCACTTTCGAAAGAAAGAAATCTGCTCAGAAATAGAATTAGATATTACAGTTTTAGATTTGTCATTTTGTCATTTGAACTGTATATTAACAGATGCAAATCAGAAATTTGGAACTTTGAGTGTGTGAATAGACTCTGCCCCAATCCCTAGCTGATCAGCCTTACTTTAAAAGCAAGTACTGCAAAGTTTTCCAGTTTGTCTCTCTGGATTCTGTCTGCTTATTCAGAGCACAGATTGCTTAATGGTCTGCATATTTCCTGTTTATGTTCATTTAAATGCACAAAAGTATTAAGAACCAACAGCAAGCAGAGTTAATAAATCTCCATTGTCACATGATAAGAACAGAGGTGGAGAACAAACACTGTGTGTTATATTGGCTGTGTAGGTATCAGAAAAAAAATTTTTTTAACACTCTTTGAAAACCAAATGGCAGATGGCTGAACTTTTAATTAGGGCAGCTAATAACAAATTGCCAGTAAATTTCAATGCCAAAACCAATGAAGAGCTGTTTATGTCAGCTGCTTTGTTATTACCAGGGGTTAAGGAAAATGCTTTTGAGGCCTATGGGTCAATTTTTCTGTACTGTATTTCAGGTAACAATATCTGTACCACAAGAGGAGCGAGTTCATGTCAACAGTGCCTGGCTGTAAATCCACGTTGTGCTTGGTGTTCTGAGGTGGTGAGTCAAAACCAAACCTATACTATAGCATAATAAACACTTGTCATCAAATATTTAAAGGATACTTCAATGTAAGTTTATTATTTTTTTGTACATGGAACAGAACAGACACAAAGGCTTTGAATTACTGCTACCAGTAACAAGCAGGGTGTAGCCAAGTTTGAAAAATGCTGTCCTATAGCCTTTGCCTCAGATTCTTTTATGGTGGAAAAAGTGCCAAAGAAAGAGTGGGGAAATAAGAGAGATTCTGGTGAAATATTGCACCATCTAGACCTCTGATAAAAAATATGAGTTTCAGGCAGGCTGCTGCACAATAAAACCGTTGTATGGAAGCATGCCCAGATTCAGTTATCTGTAGTGAAACCTGCTGACCAACTGTGTAGTAAATTATATATTTAAATAACAGAGTAATAGGTAAAACCCATAGGATGGAGAAGCCAGATAAAAACATTGGGCAGATTAAAATATTCAAATGTTATTGGAGAGTTACCATACAAGACCTTTGACGGTATTTCTAAGGACAAGAAACTGACCTCAAAAAGCTTATATTTCAGATGCCCAGAGATTGTGGAAGAATGTATTTCATCAGTATTGGTTTTGAATCATCCATAATTGGGTAGCCTTTGCTAATAGTTATTCATGCCTGGGTCATTGCTTGAATGGACTATTGTAATGCACTCTAAATGGGGTTGCCCTTGAAGAGTATCTAGAAACTTCACCTGGTACAAAATGTAGCAGAACGGATAGTTATGGGTGCCCCTAGAGTGGCATGTCAACGCTGCTAATATTGAATATTCTTGCTTTGACAATATATGCAGAACTGTCTGGTATTTTTAGAGTTAAATCAGGTGACAGGGAAAGGGGAGGAGAAAAGAAGGAAAGCCCGGGAAAAAGAAACGGAAGTGAATCTTTGCCCTCCAAGTTAATTGGAAGATGTGAATCATGACCCCAAAATAGGGGAGGGGAAATGCCTGGAATGTTATGTGCAAAGGAAGGAAAATTCAGATCTTAGCATCCAACATGCTGTGCTGACACTCTGTAATACTAATAAAGGCTTTTTAGGTTAAAAAAATGTCTGAAAGTTCTTTGAAGTGTTTTGTTAATCAGACACATGACATGACACATATCTGTGAACTGCATTAGTTGCCAGTTTGCTATTGAGTGCAATTCAAGGTACTGGTTTTGACATTCAAAGCTCTACATAACCCCAGAGCCAATGTATTTGAGGGACTGCCTCTTTCTGATTATATCTACCAATCCCATTAGGTCAGGTGGGAAGAACATGATGCATGTCGCATCTGCTAAGGAACGCCATTTGATGGGGCTCAGGATGCATGCCTTTTCTGACGTGGCACCTGCACTTTGGAACATCCCCCTCTAGGTCAAATTAGGTCTTTCAGAAATGTCTTAAGATGTGGGTTTTTTCCAGGAGACTTTGGGAAAAGGGACCCCATGAGATGGTTCTATTATGTTTGAATTTTTACTGCCTGCATTAAAACAACATGCATTTCCCATGTTGGATGTATGTTTCTTGTTTTTTGCGGGGTGATTTCAAGATGCATTCTAATTGTTTTGCTTAATGTGGATCACCTAGAGCAGGGGTAGGCAACCTTGGCTCTTTTATGACTCGTGGACTTCAACTCCCAGAATTCCTGAGCCAGGCATGCTGAGGGGAAAGGGAGAGGTTTCCAAGCTGAGCCATGCTGGCTCAGGAATTCTGGGAGTTGATGTCCATGAGTCATAAAAGAGCCAAGGTTGCCTACCCCTGATCTAGAGCATGGGTCGGCAACCCACGGCTCCAGAGCCACATGTGGCTCTTTGAGCCTTCTCCTGTGGCTCCCAGCCTCCTCTGCCATTTGCAGAGAGAGAGACAGAGACAGAGAAAGGCACTTGTGCTTCCCTTCTCTCTCTCTCTCTCTCTCTCTCTCTCTCTCTCTCTCTCTCTCTCTCTCTCTCTGTGTGTGTGTGTGTGTGTGTGTGTAAAAAAGAGAGTGGCCTCACCCTATTCTACGACGAGCTGACAAGCTTATTGGGTGGGGCTCCTCCCTTTGCTGCGTCTCTGCAGGAAGCAGGAAGGGCAGGAGAAAGCCAGCCCAATAATGTGTGTCAGCTTGTTGGAGAAGAGCCTGAAATCAGCTTGCCAGGTGAGCAGAAGATCGGAGAGAGAGGGAGAGAGAGAAAGAGAGAGAGAGGAAAGAAAAAGAGAGAGGGGGGGAGAGAGAGGGAGAGAGAAAGGGAGAGAGAAAGAGAGAGAGAGGGAGAGAGAGAGAAGACAGGGGGAGAGAGAGGGACAGAGAGAAAGAGAGAGAGGGAGCGAAAGAGAGAGAGAGAAAGAGAGAGGGAGAGGGAGAGGAGACAGGGAGGGAGAGAAAAAAGAGAGAGGGGAAAAAGAAAGAGAGAGAAAGAGAGAGGGAGAGGAAAGAGAGAAAGAGAAAAAGAGAGAGAGGAAAGAGAGAGAGAGAAAGAGGGAGAGAGAGAAAGAGAGGGAGAGAAAGGGAGAGAGAGGGAGAGAGAGGGAAAGAGAGCGAGAAAAGAGAAAGGGAGAGGGAAAGAGAGAAAGGGAGTGAAAGAGAGAGAAAAAGAGAGAGGAGAGAGAGAGAGAAAGAGAGAGAGGAAAGAGAAAGAGAGAGAGGGAGAGGGAAAGGGAGAGGAAAGAGAGAGAGAGGAAAGAGAGAAAGAGAGGGAGAGAGAGAGGAAAGAGAGAGAAAGAGAGAGGGGGAGAGGAGAGAGAGAGAGAGGAAAGAGAAAGAGAGAGAGGGAGAGGGAGAGGGAGAGGAAAGAGAGAAAGAGAGGGAGAGAGAGAGGAAAGAGAGAGAGAAAGAGAGAGGGGGAGAGGAGAGAGAGAGAGAGAGAGAGAGAGAGAGAGAGAGAGAGAGAGAGAGAGAGAGAGAGAGAGAGAGAGAGAGAGAGAGAGAGAGAGAACTCATGCACAGCAGCCTCTATTTCTTTTTAATTAAACTCTTCAATCAAGCTCCCTGCACAAGTTTTGATGCTCCCGGTGTTTTCTTTTCTCTGGGAAATGGGTTGAAGTGGCTCTTTGAGTGTTTAAGGTTGCAGACCCCTGACCTAGACTATTCTTGTAAAATAAATAGCTATGTACATTTGATATATAAATAAATTTACACAGTAGAGCCCAGCTATTTTCTTTTCCATTATAGCTCAGTTGTTATATATACCATAGTGACCTTACAACACCTATCATCAGCTAGTGTTCTATATTATTAATCAATCTGGAATGTGCCATTTTATCAGCCTTTCATTATTTTTTCAGTTAAAATGGTAAAATATTTCAGCCATGCTTAACATATATTAATATATATGTGCATTAGTGTACAGTGTTTCCTGATCTTTATTCCGCTTACCAATCTTCTTGCTCTTTTGATTAAAGTATCTCACAAACAAATAAAAACATTTTTAAATCACCCAAGCATCCAGATTTTATCTTCCTTTTCCTTACACTGTGGCAATTTAACAAGCTACAGTATTAACGGAATATTACAGAAAGTCTACACTGGAAAAAATATAAAAAATTAGTTGCAACTGTCTTGTAGTTTGCAGTAGAAGAATTATGGTTGAATAACTCTCAAAAATACATGGTAAAGGAGAGTGAAATGCTACATGTAAAAAAATCTGAAGAATGCATTTCTTTTAAATCATGAAAACCCAATTAACAGTGGAGTCCTCTTAAAGTATTTAAAGAATGCTTTTCCATGGCTGTTAAATCCCAAGAAGGAAGGACTTTTGGCTCTAATCTGCCAGGAATAGGAGAAGATTTTAAAAGAGAAGCAAAGTGCCCCCTACCCATTTCTGTAGAGCCTTTTGATTATGTTCCCAGAATTTTTTCAGTTTAAAAAAACATGTCTTCTCATTGAAAGTTTCTTTATTGCTCGAATAATTGTAAGTTGCTTCACCAAGTAGCTTTATTGTTGTTTTAGACCCAAGATTAAACACCATGGAATAAAAGCTCAATGATATTGTACAGAACACAGAGTTTGAAGAGCATTTGGCAAGCATATCCCACTAGTGAGATGTTAAAAGAATCATACACAATGACCCCTAAAATGCATTCATTCTTTATGAGAAGCCAGAAAACATAGGCAATTTCAGAAGCCACTAGTGAACTCCAAAAAGCTGTTTGGTATCATTTGGGAGACAAAAAAATGCATTTTTTAGTATTTCTTTATCACTGAGAAGTAATTAGGCAAACTTGGTATTTATCATACAAGTTTACTTCCTGTGAATACGTGCATTTTCTGGTTCTATTTCCTGGTGTTTTAAGGCTTATAGATTACTGAATGATGACCCAAATAAAGAAACATTACGGTCTCATAATCTCTGGAAAATCTTCAAAGTTCTTTAAATACAAGATTACATGGAGAAGATTTCTAAAGAGAGCAGTATCTGTGCCTGCTGATATATTGACAAAGGAAGAAGACACAATCATTTTATATTAATAAGTAGAATTGGTAGATTCCATAAATTAGAAAAGTACTGCTGTCTACCCTGGAAACCTCACAATTTAATCTTAAAATTATAGGTTTCTGAATAATAAATGTGAAAATGAATTGCAATTTACTTGTGGATGGAGGATGCCAATATGTAAACCAAATATGCAGATTGCCCATGTGAGGAGTATGTGGCATTATTAATTAGGAGTCTGGTTAAAGGATAGGAGTTTCCCAGACCAAGGCTGAGTCCAGGCTGCCATCTCTCAGACTTGCAGCAGATCTGAGATTTTTGCTACAGTCGTGTCCAAGTGCACATGTAAAGGAATTTAAAAGTGACTTGGGGAAGTTATGAAAGAATCGTTGAGGGGAGTTATGAAAGTGATTCAAAGTCAAAATTCTGTTATTATACATGGCAGCAATAAAGTACCATTCCAGTATCTATTTCTTGTCCTAGTCTACCATGATAGTGCATGAGTATTCCTCAGCCTGGAAATATGAGATTACTCATCTCTTAGACAGAATAGCAGAATGAGAAACAAAAATGGTACA